CTTTATCCTGTACCAGCCCTCAATGACTGAAAAAGGGCTGGGACTCAGTGTGTGTGAGCATTTGATTCTCTTCTTAAGGAGCTTTGTGAGTTTTGGCAAGACAGCTTGTCATCCCTGTATGAAACTTGTGTTCCACGCATCATAAATATCACAAGAAATTAAGCCGAGAGGGTTCTCAAGAGGTCACCATTGGTTTTTCCCACTTTCTAAGATAGGTGGCTTTGCAAAATTGTTGGAAAAAGTATTATAAGTACTGAATTATTCTATCAGCAGTCTTTTATGTTTTTCTTCAACTAATAACTTTCCATTTAGGTAAGCCTCCAGGACCTCTGCATGTATTGGATAGCACAGGAGATGTGGGGGGGCTTTTGAGTCTCTCCAAACCCTGGTTGTGCTGCAGCACTCAGTTGCAAGTGGGAGTTGAAGATGTCCTTTAAGTGTGTGCATGTTTAGGATTACCTCATCTGAGTCTGTGCCTGCTGCTAGGGTCTGCACTTAGTTTTCAGGAGGAAGGGCTTTGCAGATTATTTTTTACAAAGTTCGACTCAGTGATCCTCTTGGGTCTCTTCCAACTCAGGATATTCTGTGATTCTATGAAAGTGAACCACAAATGAAACCCGATTCAGTGGTACGGGGTCTGATTTCTTTTCTTCTGCTGCCTTTTTTTAAGTGGTTACATGTGGAGGTTGAAGTATTTGGAATATAAAAAGTTTGTTTGACCCTTCCCAACTCTTCCTTTTGGGTTTAAAAAGAGGAGCTTCTGTGGGTGCTGTAAGAACATCTCCTTTGCTCACTGCACAAACCCCTGCATGCCATGTGTGTTTTTCTTGAAGCACAGGTTTATCTGCAGAGATAATCAAAAGCCTGCATCATCCTCAAAAAATGCCTGTTTCTGCTGCCTCCCTCCCTGATTCCTGGGATTTTCGGCAAAGGGACATCCCCTTTAAACATATATTTCTGCTTCATATCTCTCCCTTTTGAAGCCAGAGAGCTGGCTGGCTGGCTGGCCTTTGAATAGGCAAGGATGAGAATAGAACAGTGGGAGGTCCGTGTCTTGCTCATAAACCTTGGCCAGAAAATCAGCCCTGACAAGTGGGGACAGGTAGCAGCGTCTCCCCCTAATCAAGCGATGCGGCGGAGCAGACGCGTTCCTGCAGGAGCTGGGGGCAGGTGGGGCCTCCCAGCCTCATCGGCGTGCGTTCACCCCAGAGCTGCATGCCACAGCTTAATGAGGAGCCATGTTATTTCAGTGTGAAACACCCTGTTTTTCCATTGGCCCTGCCCTTTGTGCGCTGCTTTGATTTCTTCACAGAATCATTGAATGGCTTAGATTGGAAGGGACCTTAAAAATCACCCAGTTCCAGCCCCCCTGCTGCGTGCAGGGTTGCTGAGCACTAGGTCAGGCTGCACGGGGCCTCATCCAAACCTGACCTTGAATACCTCCAGTGTTCCAAAGGACACTTATTTGGTTTTCTCTTCCTTTCTCGAGTTTTTTTCTGTTGTCTCAGAGCTATGGGACATGGAGGGGGGATGTCGCTTTGTGCCTTCCCTCAGTGGTGCACACTACCAAGGGGCTTGGCATGGCCCTGCTTCTTCCTGTGGGAAAGCTTTCTCCTGCTAAAAGCTTCCTCGCACTGTGTAAAACAATCATCGTTAGTACTAATTGGGCAGCTTTGGGGTTAAATCTGCAAAGATTGCTTGGGTTTAGTAAATCCTCTGCCACCACAAAGCAGATAATACTAAACAAAAGATCACCTTGATTAGATTAAAATTGGCAAATTCATTTCCCTAATCATCGTATTGCCCTTCTCCTGGCTATTCAGGAATACATCAACATGACTTACTTGAAGTAATTGAATATAATTGTCTCTTTAACTCCTGCATGTAAAGCATCCATCTTTGTTAGCAGCATGCGCTGCTGTCCTGATGCCAGCTCGCCCTCCTCATCAGGAGGGGTGGGAATGAGAAGCAAAACAGGGATGATGTTCATGAATTGGAAGCTGATTGCCTATAAAACCATTCATTATTCCTGACCAAGCACCTGGAAGAGCAGAAAAAGGAGCAGCACTGGTGGTGGTTGGTTTTGTCGCTACTCCCAGGGTGGGCAGCAGAGGAGGGACCCAAAGTGGGACAGCCCAAAGGGAGGTCACCCAAAGCAACCCATCCCTGGAAGGAAGTGGAATTGCTGACTGCCACTATTCAAATAAGTTGAAATGCCAAAAACAAACCAATCGTGCCGTGGGAGGCAGGAAATTTGTAGAAATTTTTCTTCCATTAATAGTCAGATGTGCAAGGAGGGAAGAATTCTTTTCAGATGTTGCTGTACCAACAGATAGCTAGGAACAGAGGCCAAGCAACCCAGACACCCTGTGCTTTCTTATTCCCAGCTCTCCTGAGTGACTGGGAGATCTTTTTGTACTAATTTTTTGATATTACTACAGCAATCGGTCATTTAGTAGTAGGTAGTTACAAAACTAATTACTAGAAGTATCTAAAGGCAGGCTGTGAAAAAGAAGAGGACAAGCGCTTTATCAGGGTCTGTTGTGATAGGACACAGGGAAATGGTTTCAAACTACAAGAGGAAAGATTTGCACTGGATATAAGAAAGAAATGTTTTACGGTAAGGGTGGTGAGGCACTGGCACAGGTTGTCAAGAGAGGTGGTGCATGCCCTGTCCTTGGAGACATTCAGGGTCAGGCTGAATGGGGCTCTGAGCACCTGATGGAGCTGCAGGTGTCTCTTCATTGCAGAAAACTAGGGCTGCTTCCAGCTTAAACAATTGTATAGTTCTATGATTATATGAAAACAAGACATAACTTGCCTTGTTTGAGATTCACCATTTGACCCGTTGCTGTTTATGGCTTTGCTATTATTGGTGAGTTAAATTGGTCAAGATAAGGGCTATTCCACTAAAACACCACCCCGATGCCCAGCAGCATCAGCCCATCACCTTACACCTCCCTGCATTTTGTGGCTATTCAGCCCTGGACCTACCCCATCCAGGCGGTGTCACCACCCTATTTTGAGAAGATGCCAAATCTGACCCATAGGCACTCCAGCAGAGCTATGCAGGTAGGCGTCAGGAATGCAGGAGAGTCCTTGCTCCTTTGGGTTTATTTTCATGGGCTCTCTGTGGAATGAGTGCTGCAGGAAGCCCAGCTCTGGCTGGTGAAGGTGTTTGTGGTGTCTGGTGAGTGGCTGTGCTGGGACAGTTTGTGGCCATGCTAGGAGTAAAACCCCTGTCCTGGGAGCAGAGCAGGGATGCCCTGGCACTACAGAGGGTGCGCTGGGTATCAAGACCTCCTTGCCCCTCTTCTCTGATCCCATGCACTGTGTCCAGAGGACAGAGGTGCCTCTGAGGAGGAGGGAAGCAGCTTTTGGTCCCTGCCAGCTGGGGCAGTGGTTTGGGCTGAGTGCGGTTTGGTGAGAGCAGGCACTGCTGTGCTTCTGACCTGGAAAAACACTGGCTGCCTTTTAAAGTGAAGTATCCTCACGTAAGGGATCATCCTTGCCTGGGACGATGAAAGAGTGAGTCTCCCTCCTGCCAAAGCAAATCCTAAAGGATGCGAGTTTATTCTCTGCCTGAACTGCTTTTGGGGGAGGAGGGGAGGGGAGCAGAAGGGGGGAAGCAGCTAACAGTTACCCTACTGTGTCCTGACATCAGGCGAGCTGCAAAAATGCTCCCAGTGTATCGGGGCGTGCACGGTGCCAGCCCTGCGCCAGAGCACAGAGCGTGAGGCTGCTGCGGAGCCTTAAATACTTTCCAGCCTGACTGCCTTAGCCTAACGCCTTTCAGCGCTGTTGGCAGGAGGCTTGTTTGTGTGCCTGCTCTCACCTCTCCCACTGCCGCGCCTGTGCCGCGTGTGCTTGGGAACTGAGCGCTGCGATGGGGGCAGGAGCTGCAGAGCTGGGGGCTGACACGCAGGGAAGGACGTACATGGGGATCTCTTCCAGGGGAATTGCAAGAGGAGCGCAGCCTCGCTGGATGAGGTCAGCGTAGCTCCACAGCAGCTGAACTCACGGGGTTGAAAAGCTGAATTTGAAGGCTGATAGAAAAAGAGTTGGGCGCTGCTGGAGTTTGCTCAGCATCAGCGAGAGATTCAGCCCAAGCTTTGGTGCTTGGCTTACGGATGGTGCTCTGCAGAGAGATGCTACCTGTCACAGAGGCAAGTCATGGTTCAGTACCAGCGGGGGCTGAGCCTCTGTTAATGGTGTTTCTTTGGCTTCGGTAATTTTTACAGGAAAGGCCCGGTGTAGTTGGGGGCGGTGGGAGAAATAACCTGATGAATTTTCCATTGGCTCAACTCACTCAAGTATTCTCGCCGTTAACTTTTGGGGTCAATAATAAATATTAAAACCTGTAGATTTAATAAGTCAATGTAGGTGTTCTCTGCCTTTTGAGACCACTTTATCTTTCCATCAAAGATGAAACAAGCTTCTCAAATGAATAAAAAATAGGGCCTCAAGTGATTACAAGCGCAAGCAATTTGGGCTCCTCTCTTAGAAGCTGGCAGTAGGCATTTCTGAGCCACTTCTGAATGCCTTCATGGTTTGCATTAGCACTGCTCTCACTGTTGGTTTTTAGGTAAATGTTTCCAGACCTTCAGCAGAGGTGCTCGCTGCCACTGCAGGCGCGGGGGACGGCATGGGTCTGGGTCCCGCCAGGCTCCATTGAGTCTGATTTGCGCTGCAAGTCTAGTTTTCCTTGGTGCTTCCTATAATCTCCTCGAGTTCAAAGAGCGCTTAGCTGCTTGTCTTTGTCAAAAACCCTGTTGGAGATCTTTTATGTCGAAGATGTAGGATTTCTCCGCATGACTTTGATTATTTATTCATTCCACTTCTCTGGTGTATGATAGCGCTGATATCATGAAGACCCCTTGTCTTGCACTGCTCTTGCTCTGAAATTCATGGAGATTTAGTGCCTTTGAAATTGTTTTAAAAGGAAAGGAAAAGTTTTTGAAGTCCCTTTTTTCTTCTTCTTCTTCTATTCCCCTCCACAGTGCCGCAGCACATTTTTCCGGCCTTCCACGCTCCTTTGCCCATTGACATGCGCCACCAGGAAGGACGATACCATTATGAACCTCACTCTATCCACGCTATTCACGGGTAAGTCTCGCACCTCTGCTCCTGAGCCTTGCTATGGCCCCGTCCGCTGACCCTGTGTCAAATTCCATTCCTGAAGCATGGGGCACTCACTGCCCTGTGGGTCATACAGCTCTGTTAGACCTACAGAAGTGCTGTGTAGCTCCGGGATACAAGTCCTGGAGATGGGGCTGGCTTGTGGTTTTGCACCCACGGTGTTTCTCATGTCATAGTGTGCCTTTCTGACACCATCTTGGTGAAACTGCTTCAGGAAAGGGTAAAAAGCTGCCAGGCATTCCATAAATCAGTTTTATTTCATGGGGCTTTAGCATGGACAGGCTGAGTGACTCTGGTGTCTACATGCGGTCTAGAGGGGCAGGATCATGGGTTTCAATGGGTTCCTCTTCATGAGATCCCACAAATGCTGGCCAGGGGCTGTGCCCAGGCTGGGGGAATCACACTGGTCTCCTAGTCCATATCTCTAAGTCTCCTAGACATGGTAACCCAGTGGTCCTTGGAGAGTGGTGAAGACACGTTTACAGAGAGATTTGGGTTCATCTCCTATTAATTTTGAGCAGGCAGGAAAGGAGCCAGCAGGGAAGTGAGTGGGAGGATGTGGTGGCCATGTGGCCAGTGGGTTTTCTCCTCATCCCTGAAACACGCCATCCCCATGGGAGGTGAGGGACAGCCTGATGGGCTGGCGGTCTCGCGGCTCCCAGAAATCCTTTACCCTGTGATGGCAACCTGAGGGCAGGTCCCAGGGCATTCAGCATAGGAGAACCCACAAGGGCTAAAAACAGTTTGTGTGAAGGGAAAGCAAAGCAGGTCTCATCACTTAAAAACTCTTATTTGTTCCCTCTATTATCCCCAAAGATTAGATGACCTTCCATGCCCCATGATTTTATGATTCTCTGCTCTGCGGCTTTGCAGGGCTGTTTGCAGAGCCATGCTTTTTCTGAATGGGTGTGAGTGGGGGAACAGCCTCTGGGAGGCAAGAAAGGAGACAGCAGCAGCCACGAGATCTGTGGAGTCCCACGGCTGCAAGGGCTTTATTCCACTTCCAAAACGCTGCAGGAAAAAGTGATAGGGCATTCCCCTGGATGCTAGCAGGAGACAAGTTGTCTTTTTGGCTGGCAGTCAGCTTGACTAGATGTTTAAAGAGGCAGAGAAGCTCCTTCCATGCTGTGTGCAAAGGGGAAAAAACCAGAATGGGTCGCTAATGTGAGTAGGCAAAATGGGGGGGGGGGAGATCTGCAGAGATTAATGAAGAAGTTCTGAGCTTGCCTGCATGTACATGCAGAAATTGCAGAAAAAAAAGAACACACATTAATTAAAAAATGTACTAGGAGACAGATAGTAAGCTAGAGCTATACCTAAGACAGCACACACTGACTTCTGAAAGGGACATCTTCCAAACTGTGTTTAGGAAAGAGGATAGTGGATGCTCAGATGTTTGGCATGGGTTACTCACGCACCCCAAAAAGCTGGATAGAGTCAGTGCTGCTGCAGCATGGCTAGGTATGTCTTCTTCTCAGGCTGGCACTTTGGGAACCATGCAGAGACTGTGCTCCCCTCAGTCCTGGTGCTGCATCTTTCCTGGGTCACCACAACAGTGATTTTGGTGGAGTCGTGGAGCAGGATTTTCTCCAAAATGCGATGCAGAACTTACCAGCTGTCCTGTGAATTATATCCTCTGGCAGGTCAGGTATTCGGCTAACTAATGTTAATACTCTGATATCCTAGCAGTGGCTGAGTTTGTCTGTCAGGGAACCAAGAGTATCCTGCGTAGGATTTGGGAAGAATTGTTGGCATATTCCTACCGTCCTTATTTGCAATCCTTCACCTTCTCAGGAGAAGCTTTCACAAAAAAGAATTCTTAGTTACTGAAGGTAAAACTTGGTTGTTGGTCTTAGAAGAGGAAACGTAGCTTTCTTGGAAACTTTGTGTAAGATGAACCTTATTGCTTGGACATTGTGTTGAAGGGTGCCCATGTGAATGGTGAATCATCAAAGCAGAGCAGCTGACTGTTTCTTGGCCGTGTATTTTTGTGCAGTCTTCCGTGACATTTCTGGAGCTACAGAAGGCAGCAGGCTTGTTGAAAACAACTTAGACTGAAATATCAATTACAGCTTTTGTGAGCGTGCAAGTGCATACATGTGTCAGTCCTGTCCTGGGCCTTATTCTGCTGTCAGTTAGAGAGGGCTTTCCTGCAGTAAAGCAAAGCCTGTTCTTTAGAATCAGGGGAATGCAACTTCACTCTGGCTTTCTTTCCCAAGTGCATAACCACACTGGGAAAATCCTCACCAGCTGTGGAGTTGGTCTCTTGTCCATTTTTTCTCTTTCAGTCTTATCGGCAAACATTTCTACCTGATCTCCTGCCCTTTCCTTTTTTTATATTTTGTTCTACTTCTCTTTTGTCTTCCCCTTCTCTCTCTCTTTCAGTTTCTGTTCCAGATACCACAAAATAATGCTCACCCTCCTCACTGGCGGATATCCAGTGTGAAATCACTCAGAACGTGGTAATGGAGCTGGGCTAGGGCACACTTAGCAGTTCTGTGCCTGGATAGGCTGGGCAGGCTATGTGAGTACAGAGGCACTTCTGTAAATTTGTACCCCTTCCCGGTGGTGCAGAAACCCATTCTTGTCTTTAAATTAAATAACATTGAGGAATAATGTATATTTTTACTCTAGAAAATTGTGGTAAATGTTTGGAAGACAATTTGTGTCACTGAGTTTTGGCTTCGTGATTAATTTGATCAGTGCTTGACAGAGCCCCTAATTCATCAAGCCTGTATTCTAGCTGTCTGCTGTCTTGCTGGTACCAAATTTATCTAATTACATGAACATTGCACAGCAAATTAAGTGTAGTCTCATTTCTTGCTAACTATGGGGTCTTGTTACTTGCCTGCTGCATTATGTCAAAGGTTTGTTTCCTGACTGCTTGATGTGATGTGGCTGCGTTCCTCCACATCACTGTTTGCTTTTGGCCTAATGAGAACATAAGTTGTTTTATCCTAGCTGGAGGGAACACATCTGCAAGGTTGTCCTGAGCAGGACAAGCTTTGGTACCCTTTTCTTGAGAGTATGGATGGGGATATGGAAAACTCAAGCAATGAAAGATCCACATGCAAAGATGGGTCTGAAAAATGTTCTGCATTTTTGCTCACTGTTGTTGTTCTGTCCCAGTCAGTTCCTTGTTAAGCACCATGACAAATAGTTTTCAGAGCCTGAGTCTTCCCCACTGAGCATTTAGTATATCTATGCAGTTGTTGATCATGTTGATAGTACCCTGAAATATATTTCCTAGAGAACTTTATCTGGATAAAATAGTGTTTCTTCTGTCAATAGGACACTTCACTTTTTTACACAACCTGTTATTTTTTCTTGTTTGGTGATACACCTCTTATTCATTTTATCAAGTGATCTCTTCTTTAGCATTAAGAAAAATTTGTTGGAATCATGATGCTTTCTTGGCCAGTTTGGAAAAATGAAATATTTCATTCAGTTGATCCTTGAGCTCTGCAGTGCGAACCAATAGAAATATTGTGGAGTTAAGACATCAATTGGATTTTGGCGTTGTGGACTCAATGATCGTACAGAGGATGGAAGGAGATGGAAGGATTGGAGCCCAACAGACACTGCAAGAACATGTAGTGAGGAATGGATTAAAACCGAGTGTGGGAGGGAATCTCTTCCAGGACTGCAGAGTTAGAGCAGAATGAGTGAAGGAAAGCATACTGGTCCATGTAAATTATGAGACACCATTTCTCCAAAACAGCATTTGTTTGATGTTAAGGTCGCCAAATACAGCACTCAAAAGCTAAGAAATGACAGAAATATCTTTGTAGGTTCTGACCTGTTTTGTTTTCATCGTCATAGTGCTTTAACTTGCACAGCCATCCTCCGTGAATGGGTAATGGCAGATGCTGGATTCATCTCCTGCATGCAGCTTTTATTGATTTGTCAGAATTTCACTCTGTACTATTAGCTGTAGGCAGAACATAGATCAGTGTCACCTGAGTAGAAATCCTCAGAGGTTAACAGCTGAACCAAATTCACTTCATGTGTTAAAACAGGTTCTTTTTTAGTGAAAGAGATAGTTTGCGTTTTAGTGAGCTTCCTTGTGGAAACTTACACTGCTGGAGCCCTGTCTCTGCAAAATCTCTCTTATCTGCAAACCAAGGGGACGCTTGGAGCCAGCTTTGCAAGATCAAGCTCTCAACTGCAGAGTGAAGCAGCAGGTGAGGATGGCAGGTGAGCACTGATAGCTCCCTTGCACTCCCCCCTTTAGGGTGCTTAGCTACTCTCAACTATTTCTTTTTTCCAAACTATAACAAAAAAAACAGAAAACCTCTTAGCTCAGCTTAAAAGTACTTGCCAATGCAAGAGCCTTCAGGGCTAACCCTTGTAAACAGCATGCCTAGGCTTGACTCAGCAAGAAGCTTTTTAACAGTAGTTCCTAAACTGTGATTAAAACCCATCAGGCATTATGCAGTGCAACAAACAAAAGCAGCCTTGTTTTTCTACTGACATCCCGGTGATGTTTCAGGTTGCAGTTCTAACATTATTTATTAACAAAATATTGTTGTTGTTCTTTTGTCCACATTTAGAAATAATTTTAGAAAGTAAAAAAAAAAACAAACTGAGCTCATAATTCTGTGGCTTTTGAGAAGACTGAATCTTCCCAAAGACCTACTGACAGAGAATGTTCCATCACCATGATAATGTGGAGTTGCCCTTAATTTCCCTTTGCTAGGGCTTTTATCTGTATTAATCACGGATCTTCTTGCATTTCCCTGAGATCTTAATATATTGCAGATTTTCCCTGATATTCAGCCTACACAGTTTTCCTTTACCTGATCCTATTGCCCCTCCTTGTTGAAGTTTGTTTTCCTTTTGCTGTGTTAAAAATTGGAGAACGCCCTTTCAGGATTGGTTCCCAGTGTGCCTGAGCAGCTTAGGTGGGTAACTCACAGGTGGCCAAAGTGACTGTTCATCAAAAGGCTATGGCTCAAGTGTTTACA